GAAAGAAAGAAAGAAAGAAAGAAAGAAAGAAAGAAAGAGAGTGGGCACTGAAGGCGGGAGGCAAGGAAGGGGGATCACATGCAGGAGGAGTCTGGGAGTGATGTCAAGAGCCCCCGCTTCCTCCCTCCTACCTTTGATTGGGTTTAATAGGCTTTTCCTTAATCCCTCTGTATTATCTGATATTTTCGCTTATTCAACGCTCTGCCAGCCTGTTTATGTCGGATAAGCGAGACATGATAACCATGTATAAATATGTGAGGGGAAGTCATAGGAAGGAGGGAGCAAGCTTGTTTTCTGCTGCCCTGGAGACTAGGACATGGAGCAATGGCTTCAAACTACAGGAAAGGAGATTCCAGCTGAACGTTAGGAGGAACTTGCTAACTTTAAAACCTGTTCAGCTGTGGAACTCTCTGCCCTGGAGTGTGCTAGAGGCTCCTTCTATGAAGGCTTTTAAACAGAGGCTGGATGGCCATCTGTTGGGGGTGCTTTGAACACAATTGGCCTGCTTCTTGGCAGGGGGTTGGACAGGATGGCCCATGAGGTCTCTTCCAACTCTGTGATCCTATGATTCTACTGTACTGCGTCATGAAATGATGCACATTTTAAAAGTGTGTCACCAACATGAAGTGTTTGAAATGCTCTGTTAGCAGAGTCTTTCTTTATTATAAATTCATAGTGGAAAACATCAAAAGTAAGAAAACAAACATCTTGCATCAGATATCAGACCCTAAACAAAACATTTAGAGTCCCAAACTCCAAAAACGCCATAGCTTCTCCAAAAGCTCAAGGCTATAACAATAGCAGAACGCTGAGGGACGCTGAAAGCTGCTGAAGGCTGCTGCTGGCTGCAGGCAGATGCAACACATTATAACCACAGTAATTAGATCCACCTGCACCCAATTAACCAAAACCACATCACAAGCATTTCAGCAATTAAAGATACAAACTTACTTATACATACATAACCCAAATACATACAATGAACAGATAAAATTTTGCACATTTTTACAGTTCTCCTGACATGCTCTAATTTGGTTCATCCGTTTTGGCCATGTAAA